ACTTGCACCAACACAAAGTAGCAAATTTTACTTCAAAGAGCATAAAGTGACTGTTGTGGAAGGACATGCCAATACACAGCACTGTATGCTGGAGCCAGTCATTGCAATAAAGGCATGAAGAAGAATTAATATGCATCTAAGTCATCAACCCAGATCGCTGCTGGAAGCAAGAATCTGAAAGTAGGGAACCAGCTATGTGATCTGACAAGACACAGACCTCTATCAGACTCCAATTTATCAAAAAGCTAAACCTTTATGAGAAGGCAAAAAGAGACACTGGTATGTTCGCCTGTAAGACCAGCTGAGTTCTCAAATTGTTACCAAACAACAGCTCTCAGAAACAGGAAAGATAAAAAAATAAGAGGACCACTACTGCCTTCCAATAAAAGACAAATTAAGAGCTGTTGTGTAGCATACCTGCGGAAGATCTCAACATTACATGGATAACTTTATGCCCACACATCTCTGTATTAAATGACAGACTACAGCATGAGGATGAAAACAAGACATCCACAATACCAAAACATTCAGATACATGGCTGAAAATGTCCTTCAGCCTACACTGGCATCTTCCAGACTGACTGCTCTGTCCCCTCTCTGAGTATGTTTAACACATTCCCAACAGGAATGCTGGGCACCAAAGCTGGAAGGCTGGGAGCTTACAGTTGCTTTCTGAGCCATGCAGTACTGGTCCTAATGAGCACCAAAGAGCAGGCAGAGACACAACAATCCCAGCATTAAGTTTGGTGAAAATACGCTATGTAGTATTTATGTCATGTTATTTAGAAACTACACTTCTATGCTGACATAAGGAAAAAAAACCACCTTTTTGTTATACTGGTGGAAATAATCCCACAACAGTACTTCCAAGCTCCCCATCGCAGGTAACGAAATACAGTGTTAATTAGAGGATGATGACTTACAATCTCGTACTAGTGTAAGCAGTTTTAAGATCAGAATTTTATTTTTTTTTAAATACTTACAAGTCACCTCATCTTAACTTTTGTGTTTGAATCTAATTTATATTTGCAAAGAGATAAGGAAAGTTAATTACATGCACTTCATAGACAACTACATAATGAATTCAGTATTTTCTTCATGTCTGCTTAACTCCCTGCCAGCAACTTTCTGGCTATCTAGACCCACGCTATTATGCATGATTGAGAGGGGAAAAAAAACCAAAAAACACAGCTCATGAGGACATTCATAAATATATCAAACAACCTCTTATTCAAATATATGAAACAGACAAAATGACTAAAGATTCATTTTGGCTTACATCCTCTCTACTATTTCCAAACTATTTTTTCACTAAGAAAAAATGAGAAACACGCCATTTCTCACATATAGTTTGCCCTCCTGCAGAACAGACCAGAGTACGAAAATACATTTTAATAATATTTCTACAGTTACATTCACACCTGCTTACATATTATCCTATTTGAATCCTAAGCCAGTAAGGAAATTATTTCATCTGCAATTTATTCACTAAAAAACCCCACATAATCATGCTAAATAGACATACGATGCTAACAGAAAGAACAGAGTATCATGTACTGCCATGCTCTTCCCATAATTGATAACAAAGTTTTTATAAGCATGTTAAGAGCTACTGTAAGAAGCAACTATTATAGTAACCATGTGCTGGTTTCTAAGCACTTAGACATTAAGGTCTTTTGTTTTAATTAAAAAGCCCTACTAGATGTTAAACCATCAGATTTCATCGATAACTATTTACAAATGTGTATGTCAACAGTAACATCTCATGCAATCATGAGTACTTGTTAGCTATAATTAGCTAGAGCTACTGACTTTAAAAAAGCAGTGAACAATATAGTAAGATTCTACTAATTATGTTTGGGGGAAAATTCTGGACTAGCATCTCAGGAGTATGAACTACAAGTTATTTATCACAACAGTCAAATGCCAATCAGAAGTAACAGAGATGTTGAAATATGGGATCTATATTGTAACTGTTGACAGAAACACCTCCTGAACATTCAAGTATGAGCTTTTTATTTTCCTCATGAAATCTCAGTGCAATTTATTCAATCTACTATATTTATTCTACAGCCTTCAATAACCCAAAGATTCATAAACCTCTTCTCTTATTCCTCCAAATTTAAATTTACACTTCTTCGATAGACAAAAATAGGGTGGAGAGACCTTCACATACGTAGCATGGTCTCTTATGTTTTACAGTACCTTTTATTACACAGCCTTACAATCCAAGGTATTGTATTGACAGAAGTAGAATTGTTATGCTTACATTGCTTTTATTGTGTTGTTTTCCTCTCAAAACAAGACAGGCTGTATTCTTACATTGTGTGGTACAATCACACCAATACTGCAAATTGATGTATTTAGAACAGAAAGCACAGCTCGCGTAGAAGATGCACGTTGCCTGAAGCTATCAGGGTAGCCACTGAAGGCTGAGGTGTGCTATCATGCTTTCTTAGTCATCGCACCATTAAGTCATCTCATGTAAGCTCTGAAAACTAACATATCATTTCATAACTACGTTCTTAAGCTCATCCAACTTAACTTTTGGAATACACGAATCCAGATGTGTTCAACTGCATTCAGGTACCTTTTTGCTTTGACACTGTTCCAAAACCACTTAACTCTGACTGCTTCCTCAAGGAAAGCGCTACGTTAAACAAAAAAGGATGCAGCATCTCTTTAGAGAAAACCAGTTGTTCTCAGCATCCACTAGTCCTGTTGTTTGAAGAAACTCTTCATGCTATTCCAAGGCTGTCCTTAAATAATTGCATATTACCCAACTGAAGATCCTCCCACCTTCTAACAACTGAATATATCCAGGCTGTTCATTAACATTCTGTTGGCTGCCTGAGAGTTCAGGGGAGATGAACATCCACTATGTTGCTCAATCTTAACGAGTATTTAGAAAGCTGAGATCCACTTCTGAACTATGCGTTATTTAAGAGGTGTCATTCATTTATGCCTAACAGAGGAATACACAGAAACTGAATAATTCAGCCTTCTCTATATTATCCACTGCTTACTGTTTTTCCTTGAAGTTAAAAAAATCCAACCCAATACCCTCTAGTTTTATCTCTTCCTTCCTCTTTACTCTTCTGCATTTACCAAATCTTTTCTTCCTGACCTCCTTCTCTGCTAGCTACATTTCATTCTGCATCCTGTTTTTTCTGCATTTATCCCTTCAAGCTCTCAGACTAAAATATTTCCGGGTTTTTTTTCAGAATTATTTTTTTTTACTTTCAGGTCATCTGAGAGTTATTTTTTTTTATTCCTGTACCTCCCCTGTATCCTCCATATACTACTCTGCATTTAACATAAGTGCCCTCACAACTAGATGTGCCCACATCTTAGAATGAGGTAAAGAAATTACAGTGTCTCTAAATTACCTTGTGTCTGTGAATTTCAACCAGTTCCCTCTAGAATTCTGCTTTATTAACAAGTTAGGATTGTATCATTCGCAGCCATTAAAATTCCCTGAAATAGGTTTTCAGAGTAAGAATAAAAAAAACCCAACAAACAGTGCTTCTTTCAGTACTAAGAAATAGAAATGATACTTCTTTAAAAAGCACAGAAAGACAATCCCAGTTGCAGTATTGTAAAAACTGTAGTTTCTATAAAGTGATGTATTTATAGAAAACACCATTGTCTTTTTAATTCAGTCCTGAAATAAGCAACATCTTTTAAGAACACAGAAGTATAAAAATCTATTATTAATGTCTTGGAAATAATCCTCAAGTTGTTATTTACTCTCTTAAAGTGTCAGACTGAGGTACCTCTTTCTGGCCAACTGCTTCCTGCTGGCAGTATGAAGCAGTTGCAGCTCCAGTTTATGGGCTGTTTTGTTCCCAAGAAAGCAATAAAATGGGTGAGGAAAACTTTGACAGCATTTCTGAAAGGAAGAAAATTACCTTCATTCAAACAGCCTACAGGCAGGAAAGGGTGATTGCTCAGCTCACTTGGCACAGGTGGACACAGAAAAAGGAGAGGGTTTCCATTTCTAAAAAGTGTTACGAAAAGCAAGGAAACTGAGGATGCTCAGCATCAATACAAGATCTGGTCCTTAATTTTCTTTAGGATTTTGTTTAAGCCTGACATTATCCACTTCTGGCAAACAAACCAAATGACTCTGCACAAGGTTTCATTTTAAAATAATTTGTGTGTGCTGGTATTAGATTCTTGTATCTAACTGAGAAGGTAAATCACCAACAGATAGCTACCAACATGTTGCCTTGACATGTATTAAAAACCCTCTAAACCTTACTTTACTCACTGGAAAATTCCTTGTACCAAAATTCCCTCCTATTCAGCTTCCTCTCCGAGGCAGGTGTCTAGCAAAGAGACACCTATTTACACTTCTGCTGGATTAGAAAACCCAGCTCTTCAAACTTGAGACAGAACTGTGCTTCGCCTTTTCTCCCTGGTGAACAGTGCAGTAATCCCAAGTAAGTGGCATGCAAAGCTGTTATGTATCAGATTCTGTAATCACATTTCAGTGTTTTACTGGTTGTAAATAACATGCACAAGTGCTCCCAAGGACCAAATTGCTCTTTTGCTGCCAACAATAGTTGTTTAATGATCTGAACAGCAGAAACTGCCAATTACTGTATTCCATTTCAAAGTGTCATTTATAGCCACACTTGTAATTATTATACCATTGTTGTAAATTTATGGTCTTAGCTAGACAGCTCTAGGCATATAACTTGTAAGGCCCAGGAACAGCTATTGATAATTATTAATCAATTCCACCTATGGAAAAATATAATGGTTTTTGCTTGTTTACTGCCTAGCACCCAGCATCCATTTCCCCAGCAGTTCCCAACTGTGAAAAAGGGCCTCAAGTACCTCACTCAGCCCAGTTCTGCTGGACTTGCCATTACAACAAGGGATCTCAACAAGGGCACACCAAGGACTTTTCCTAAGAAGCTGCAGCTATGAAAAGGTCAACATTTGCTCTAATATACCACTCATCAATGTTAGTCCTTCTTGCCACTTAAAACTTACCTGAAACAGCCAGCATTTTGGCTTCAAGTAGAGCTGGCAGCTGAGTCTCAATATCACTCACTTTCCTCCTCAAAGTACTGCAGAGTTTCTGACTCGTACAAACCTAGATTGAGGCAGACAACCATGATATATAATTCATTCATGTTAAAGTATAAGGCAAATTAGAAGGGGCTTCAAATGTTCTTGGTTTACAGACACGACATAACATCCTACAGCAAGGTGAAGAAGCTTAATAAAAAGTGATGTCTTTACAGAAATCCCCAACATGAATCAAAGTTTCCAGGCTTTGCTGCACATTTCATTACCAAAACAGGCAACAGTACTATCATTCACTACTTGCATATGAGAGAACGTGTTTCACTACAAGATACTGAGGCTGCACATACAAGAATGGCTATCATAGGAATTCTGTACAATTTCAGCATTACCAGTGATACCTGCAGTGTAAATAAGCCAATGTTTGGAATTTAAGATGTCATAACACAGGATGTATGGAGATTTTTATACAAAACATACCGTGCCACACATCTTAACTGAAAAAAGGCAAAGCAGCCATCATCATTCTCTGCACAGGCAATAAATAAGGTTATACCAGCTCAATACTGTACTTTGTTCAGCAATCAGGGGACACAGTTGACTGAGGTTCAAGATTTTTACTTTCCTTCTCTCTCTTTTTTGTCTTTTTAACTGGAAATTCCTTCAACAATTAATCAGGACTGGTATTAAAAACATGGAGAGAGATGGGAAAAAAAGTTCAACTGTTTCTGTGCTTTACATTTAAGTGTACGTTACCACCTCAGAAGACTCTTATACAGCATACTCAACTCATACAACTCCCACACATTCAAAAATGTTGGTTCTTACTCCACATGGCATCATTTGTGAAGGAAAATAAAATTAACAAATAGAAAGACTCTTCATCAAACTAAGGCAAATCTGAAGGCAGACATCAAATGCTTGCTTAAAATGGCAGCTGATACTTGAGATAACATTGCATTCATTAGAACCAAGGGTAGAGTAATAGTCAAGAGAGGCCTAGGCCAGCTATGAAGAGATGAGATCTGGAATGAAATCTCCAGAGGAAAGTTTCCATGCCCGCCTTGACTTTTCTTTCCCCCTGAGAAACAAGTGTATATACTATGCTTATAAGCAGAAGCACAGCTTCACTTCACTTTTTAAGAGCAAAAGCTTTACAGCTCTAACGGCTTCTCTGTTTGTACAACTAAAGTAAAATAATTGAGATATGACACTAACTGAAAATCCTTTTAAATGGATAATACTGTCTTGCTTTAGCTGAAAGCTACTATTAACCATAAATGGGTCATATTTTTTTCTTGAGTCAACAGAACTATCCTCCAAGCAGTAACTGTTACTATCAAAAGACTTCAGTCTTCCAACTAATTTAAAAATACATATATCTCATAACTTCTGCACCTATTATAATTTTTCAATTCCCAGATATTTCACTTTGTTTCAGTACTCCCATCTAAGTGACTTGCCTACTAATTCACTCAAAATGCTTTTAAAAATGCAAACCTGTCAGAGGTGAATAGATGTGCCCAAAGAACCCAAAGGCCATTTCTGTCTCACATCTCCAAAATAAATCTGAAAGTTTTTAATGACTTCTTTCTAAGCAGCACTCTCTCTTTAGAGGTACTGAATGGCTCAGTGAATTGCAATTAGATGGGGAATCTTTCGGCTCCAGGAAAACTGCATGAATAATACCCCATGCTGGTAGTAACTTAAAGTCATTACCAATACACAGCTGTTTGGCAATTATGCAAAATAAGCTGGAAGGTTTAATCAGTTTCTAGTGAGCACTGTCCACTGTGTAAGCACTACTGTCAGAACGAAGCTCACTGGCACTCTTTATTAATGGGTGAAATGCAGGAACCAGAGGCTGAAAGGAAGTTCCTCTGGCTCGCAGAGACAATTCTTCTGGAACATGAGATAAGTACTTTACCCATCCTCTGCTTGTATCTATGTCACGTGTATTCTGTAGATAAATGAACAACATTAATCTTCAGAGCTATCTTATGACACCATGCGACAAAACTAAATGAGCAACTTGGAGAGGCAAAATAATGTAACACCCCCTAAATTAATAGCACTGCTCCTGGGTTACATCAGCTCTTCTCTACAAGCTCCAAGTCCTTGCATTTTTTCTAATTATTTTATCTTAATAAGAACTACTGTTGTTCACTGCAGTAGCCTGTTCAGCCACTGACAAAAGCCTGTTTCTTAGCTAAGAAGGATGATGAACATTCACAAAGCCAGTGTCCTTCTTTGCTCCATCCTCCCCTAACCAGCCTGATCACAAGTGCCTCAGGCCCCAGCAATGCCCTTTCCCTGTTCTCAGTGACCAGCTCTGCTGCAGCCTGAGGACCAATGAGCTCCAAGTCTAAAAAAATTCCCTTTCAGTTTTAGGAAAATTCTTCACAGTCAAATATTACTGTCTCTATTTAAAAATCCTCTTCAATGGTTTGTGAGGGGTTTTTAAAGCATGCTTTAAAAAACAAACAAACAACAAAACAAAACAAAACCCCCAAAAGTCTCTTGTTTAGGACTGTAACTTTAAATTCTGTGTTCAGACATATAAACACTATTCAAAAAAGCAGGCTATCTGAAACCAGTAGGATGCCGGTTAACAAAGATATGTGGGAACAAAATGAAAAGCAGCAAAATATCAAAAGCAAATTTTCCCATTGTCATCCTCTTCCATCTTGCCAGCATATAATGTTAATCCAAAGCAGCAGAAAACTGGGACAAGAACACTGACTAAAGCACTGAAATTTACTGTTTCTTCTACCATCTCAAGAAAAAAAAAAAAAGAGTAACCTTCATTTCTTTACAACAGCACCTTGGAAAAGAGAGAAAAACTTTTTACACTGCCTGAACAGGACCTGGATCTCCCATACAGCACAATCCTGCTATTAGTAAAAGCAGATACTAATTTCTGACAGAACATGGTGGATAAGGGAGATTGTTCCCTTCATTAACTGGCTAATCTTAGCTTTCAAAGCCTCAGCTAAAAACAACACAGATGAGGCAGAAAGGCCCATATAAATACTTAGTCCCACAAGGGGAAAGAAAAGATCTCTTACAAGGTAGTGTTTTCCCCATACGATGAAAAGGTTTAAAAGATCAGCTCTATTCCATTTGGGAAGAAAATAACAGGATGAGTTGATCTGAAGAAATAAAATAATAAATTATTTGGAAGAGTCTCATTATGTGCTTCCTATTTATCTTTCCTAATAAGTAAAAAACATCACAAATTAATGGAATGAAATAAAGATAATATTTTACCTACTGAATTTTTAAAGAAACAAACAGGCTGTGGAATTCCACCTCATAGACTTCTCAATTCTTATCCAATGTTTCAGCTCTTATTGAAAAGATCTCTAGATACTATTGTTATAAAATAACATTTTTTTAACAGTGCATGCTAAAAGTGTTGGTCAAGATGTCTAGGAAGAACAGATCATAAAGGATAAAATTTTCACTAATTTTGGTGAGTGATATTAGAGAAAGAACATGAAAAATCAACTTATTTCACAGTATAAAATTCTTTACTGATCAAAACCCAGAAATATTTTCCACTCCCTGTTCCATATAGACCTAAATGAATTAGCTACAATAAATGGACTTTTTTCCTAGAGCCCTCCTCCAGCAAAGATGCTCTGTTGCTCATTGAGCCACTCTGAAATAAAAAGAAAACTTCTGTATGCTCTCTCTTGGAAGGAGGCCATAGATACATAGATATCTATCTATATATAGATATATATATATACACATAAAAAAACTAAAGGGAAAATATTCACATATCTGGTTAGAAACAAAAGATATGCTAGAAATGCCACATCATTTTTCTTTGTATTTTTAAAGGGGCATGAGAATTAGATCACTAGTTATTTATTAGTGAAATGGTGGGGAAAAAAAGGTCCTTCAGTTATGGTCTTCCTTCACACCAAGGAAACCAGTCAGTAAGGAAGAGTCTCTGTATTAAAAGTGAAAACATCAGCTGTGACCAGAGTTCTCTTTCATTTCATGATACTGAGGAGTCTGTCCCTAAATGGAAAACACCAAGAAGACTGATCACTAATAAACATAAGCCAAGAAACAACAGATTATTCCATCTGTTCCCTTAAGCATAATCTCTGTGGTCTATGCAAATATAAGTTACAGGGGTGTCTGTGAGTTTGGAGTCTATGCTTAAAAATATTTACATCCAAAATCCATTCAGAAGAAACATAACAAAGTCAACTTTCTAAAACACAGATAATTTATTAAGATACAAGGTATTATCTGCTACTCCAAATATTCTGAAGAACTGAAAACTGACAAGCACTTACCTTCACAGTAGTTTCTTTAATGGATGTGTTGAATGACTGATCTTTTTCTTGAAGGCTAGAAGGGATTAGAACAAAATAAATTAAAATTGACCTTCTCTGCTCATCATGGTCTGCTACACAAGACACATTTTCACACATAGGCTGTAAGATGACTCATACAAACACAAAAGAGCCTATACCAAGATAAAAATCTGTGTATTTGGTTTCAGTGTTGCTAGTTTTTTGGTTTTGTTGGGTTTTTTTGTTTTCACCCAATTTCTATGAACTTAGTCCTGTTTATTTGCAAAACGGTTTGTAGGCTTTTGCTAGCTTTGCAGTTCTTAATTAATGACTTGATAAGCATTTTACTTTTCGTTTGAAACACAATGATGATTATTTCTGTAACCAAAATATCTTAGAAGTTCCCAGCAGTGTCCAGGACTGGTGCTTTGCCAGGCTACCATCCAAACACCTAACACAAAGGTGTTTGACACGAAGAGTTTGCATATAACTCCCCACTAATAAGTCAGTTTCCAACTCTGCCAGAAATTCAAGTGCAGTCACTTGTTCTCATGGTAATTTGATATGAAATATCCCTACTCTGTCTAGTTTATTAAAAACCTACAAAATATTTGTACCACATTGATTCAACAGTGGGCTGAAATGGAGACATAGTCTATGCTTAAACAAATTCAAGATTTTCTTCCACATATACAGATATGTTTACTAATTTAACACTAATGAACATATGTAAACCTGTGCCATTGGTGCTTGTAAATAAATCACAAGTTACATTTTTAATATAAAGTTCAAAACTCCTAGTCAAATCAAACACTGGGAGTTAGCATAGAGATTATTTCTGCAACTTCTCTCCCTCCTAGTTAGCAGGCATACACTTTTCTACAGTGTTCAATTACATTATCACACGCTATTTTGTTTTCCATCAGACGCCTCATTTCAGTGGAGATGACAGTCAGCACTCCCCACCAGCAGCATTTCAATTCTTCCTTTTGACTGTATTATAATAATTGCACTCCTTTCACAAGCTACCAGTGGTATTTTTCCCAAATAAAGAATTATTAATTTATTTCTGAGCTTTCCTTTCACCTTCGGCACCAATGTACCCTGACATGTCATAAACTCCAAGGAATTTATTTCAATGATACTCTCACAAGATGAGGCAGTATTGTATTCATTTTCCAGGTGGAAGAAACACTTCTATTCAGAAAGCACATGAAGACCGAGTGCCTGTTTTAACATGCACACAGTCCCTGCTGCCTGCCTCTACGCATTTCAGTTTTGTTTTGAGAATTTGCTCCTCCGTATTTTCCAAGCTCCATCGTATTTTCCAAGCACAGCATCTACAGTCCTGTTTGGACTTGCACTCACTGACCACCCACTGGCTGGGCCATCTTGGCCAGCTGCACTGAGAAGAAAGGCAGCCTCAGAGGCACAATTTAGCTGTCCTGTTTAACAATTAATCGTGTTAATGAGACAGCTATTTGCACTGCTTTCCCTAATGCCCTGCTTCATGGAGAACACACCTTTTCAATCTACAGCCCAGCAAATCCAGTCACCTCATTACCACCACAGCATGCAGGGGTCCCTCCAGCTCCAGATGAGGCAGTCTCCTCAGAAATAGCTCCTGACAGTGTAAATCAACGCCTGTGTAAGGCAACAAACAGTAATACAGCTGGCTAGCTACGTAAAAGTGGTTTAACAATATTTCCCACAGAGCACTCTCCAATTTCTCCCTTTTTGACAGCAATATATGGGCAAAACACAAAATAATACATGTCTAATTATGCCATTATCAGCTTCCTGCTTGCCTCTGGATATGCCAGAGGGAATTAACTATTTAGCCTTTTTTTTCTCAGGCTCTGGAGCTCCCAGCAACTTTCAGCATCTCCCACCATGATCAGTGTCCGAGCTGGTCAGGTTATGTAAAAAAGAGCTGGGCTTTGTGTACAGATGTCAACGGGGAGCAGCAAGGCTGCGGTGTGTAATTGAATGAATAAGGGGTGACTGACCCAATTGTTCTGATAAAATGTAAAGTGCAGTTATAGCCAGAAGAACAACAGTAAAGAGATGGCACCTCCATTTAAAAAATTTGTTTACTTTCCTCACAGAAAGCTGCCCCAGGTTCATATGTTTCACTCCTCTGCAGAACTCACACAGCCAAGAGGAAAACAGTGCAATTTTTGTTTTCGTTTTAAACCATGCATCCAAAACAGCATCACAAACTAAGACTCAGTTGTACAGTCCATATGGCTAACAAGGATGCACAAGCTCATGCAGACTTTCAGGTCCAGGTGCTGAGTATGGAAAAAACCCTCCTCTTTATACCCAAATTTCCTCTTTATGAACATCTATCAACTCACTGAAAAATAAATAGTGAATTGCACACTGTCGTTGCAATGACAACAGAACTATAGTTTTAAGAGAATTTTGAAGAACTGTACTTTAAAGATAATTTTATATTAGTCTGACACACATCAGTAAAGAATTAGTAAACCATTATTTTGACTCAAGCTAGCAATAGCTGCATTAACCACAGACTTGAATCTAGAGAACCCTTTTGTTAGAGTTGCAGCATTCACAGAGACTCTTACAAGTGCATGTGTATTATTTATGGTATGAATTTCACAGTGGCATCCTATTTTGAATCCTTGTTAGCCTTTGGAGCAATACCATAGGAATCTCTTATCCCTTTTAAAGATTAGACCATCACACAATTCACACACAGCAGTAAAAATCGTGTATGATCCAGCCATAGTTACCCAGCTATGAACAGCTTTTAACTAAGTTTATTCCTGGGTTGTTTTCTTCTAACACAAAACACCATCCTAGAGAAGTCCCTCACCAGCTTTCCAATTAACTGACAAGCTAATGACCTGCAAGAGAAACCAGGCAGTCAATACCAATTCATTTTACAAAGGGCCTTAACAGCCATGATCTGTTACGTGTGACTTGAACCAGAAATAGTATTTTCTTTTACCACCACCCTGGAGCATCATATTTCATTTTAAGAGGACTATTCCATCTGCTTAAAAGTTGCTTTACTTATCGCTACCAGGGAAAATGGCTTTAAAAAGGCTCTTTGGAATAACACTAAATTCTTGCCTGGGAAGATGCCCATAGTTTTGATTCACTGCTATTTTTTTTTTCTGGCAGAACAGCTAATCAAGAATTTGACTGCTTGTCCTCAAAGTCTCTGCAATCCATTATAAGGACCATTTAGAAGTTATTTCTCAAATTCAATATAAACTAACTCCATCACAGAGAAAGCTGAGTTCTTGACCCAGTTGACGGAAGGACAAGAATAAGACAGGAACTTAATTAATGCAAATTTAACTAACTAAATGCGGGAAAGTAGAAAGTTCTTAACACTTGCAGAACTGACAGCAATCTACACCTAATGTGTAATTTCTTCATGTGCGCAGATGGCCACATAGGCCTATCATTTAAATGGTTTGCAATGGATTTACATACATAAGGATCCATATCGAGGAGAGAAGGAAAGGAATGCAGACTTGCTACACCCTAAATCCTCACTACATACATGCTATAACAGAACAGGAAAGCAGGAGCTAAGGAATTACCCCTTCTTTACTATGAATGAAGTAATACTTTGGCAAAACATGGACTACAGGTGGCGAATGCTGTGTGAATGCTGCATATTCAGGAGCTGAGGCTGAGCTGGCATGTAGTAACAGACTGGAAAAAATGTTAAGATCCAAATGCTTCAAGCAAGCCAGTGCCTTTTAAGTATCTCATTTTAGTGACCTTAAAGAAAAACAGTTAGTGAGTGTGTTGAATTGTAATAACACAGTTGGAACATGCTGAGATGATGATGATCGTAATCAGGAATGGTGAGCCGGCAAAATAAAGCAACCCAATTCACCACAATAGCAGACAGAAGGAAGACTGGGAATCGAATGGTCTGCTTCACACATTCATGGCTCTATCACAGGCTTCCCACATGACCACAGAGGACATTACAGGTAATGTTTAAAAAACCTTTTAAAGAACATTCTGAAAAGTTACAGTTTACATGCAGGAATTAGAGATACTATGAAGGGCTTTGTTCAGAGGAAGGCTGACTAGCACAATAGTGGGAAGAATGGCTTCCCACTAAAGGAAGGAATGTTTCTGAATGTCTTTCCTTCCACTGTGTTAGTATACTTCCCTTTGCATACCAGGCTATTTTGTATTTATGTTTTGCTTCCTAAGAAAAAATTCAAAGAATGAAAATGGGCAAGTCATGCTAGTCTCTACATTAAAGATATATAAATATACATACCACTTAAACAGAAACAGTTCCTGTATTAATGACAAATATACATATATACACATTGACCCCAAAAAATGTATTCAGAATGCAATTTCCCTAACTGCACAACAGAACATACCACACAGGTTGTAAAATAAATTTTAAAAATCTATACTAGAAATTCTTCTTTTCATACAGAGAGTAAGAAGTCATCTCTTATCTCTGCCTGCAGAGACTGAAAGACAAAAGGATGCCCTTTAACAGCAAAAATTCTTTCTTACTTTACTGTCACCTAAAAGATCGTTCTTGATGACACACATTCACACCCTATCTCCACGCCACAACACAGTGTTTAGGCAAAAAGCACTTCCATTTCTTTAAAACTAAACACAACTCAGAAAAATTTAAAATTACCCATATTTGAATTTCTAATTCAAGAGCAACAGCCTAGAAGCCTATGCTCAAAAATTATGCATATGAGAAAGCATGATGGGCTGAACCCTCAATTCATATGAATATGTATCCCCTCCCAGATAAAATTATTAAAGAACATGTTATTGACTATTGGCAAATTTAAACAGTTTACAGCATGTCTGAATTTGGCTGCAGTATCAAAACTGCCTGCAAAGGATAACCTCATTCTAATGGTCACAACCTGCAGAAAGCATGACTTTTCCAACTTCAAGGTTTGTAACATCTTTCCTTCTCCAGTTGTGAAGTCACAAGAAGCTGTACTCTCTTAGTAGATGAAAATACATAACCCAAGCCCTACATTTGTAATCTTGCTTTTAACAGTAAAAGAA